TATAATATCGTTACTCGTTCCTGCCGACAACGGGTTATACTACCAAGTCGCCCAGAAGAACGAAGCGACTAGAGTTCCGGTAGAATACGACGTCTCTGAAGAAACTCGTTTCTGTTGTAAAAGATCGCGATTTTACGCAATTCTACGAACGTCACGGATTTAAATCGAAATATCTAGGTATAATTACAGATATACATTAAAAACTAAAATCAAAATAATTAATTAAAGATAAACGTAATATCGTTGATATTACGTCCCATTCAATTTGATAAATTCCCCTCGTTCATTTATCACAAAAATATGACAAGTGAAAATATTGGTAATCAATTTACATTTCATGTTGAATATGAAAATGTTAGATATTAAACAAAAATACAAGAAACAAATATATGATTTGATTATGTTTGTTACTAATGCATATCTTTCTTGTATTTTTATTTAATTACATCTAACCTTTTTTTATATTTAACATCAAATTTAATTAATCATCAATTTTTTGTTTTTATCATATTTTTATGATAGATATATTATTATCCAATATTTATCGAATATGTTTACTTATCTTTAACATTAATTTGAAATTGAAAAGAGAGAATGTTCGCCAAATTATTTTCAAAATTTCGATTAATTTTGTTGCATAGATTTTGATAAAAAAAATATATTTCCTGTGTGTATTGCTAAAATTTAAAAGAAAATTCTACCTAAAAGTATCAGTTTAGCAAAGTGTTTGGAAGTTTTGAGACTTCTCTGTGGGACGTCTGGGACTTTGAAACAAAAATCGATAGAACTTCACTAACGGTCTCGTCTACTAGTTTTCTTTAAACCCTCCGACCGGTCGATGCACGTGACAAAAACATGCGCGTACACGTGTTCGCAACACATTATACGCAAACCGAAAAGAATTCGCAAAGTTCATCGCAATATTTCTTATTGTTTTCATTTTTAAATGAATGAATAAAGAACGAGAGATCAACAATTCTGTTTGTTTGACATTTTTAACATTTAATTAAATATTCGAGAAATACCTCGCTATAAAAAATATATTTAAAACATATTTTGCAAATATATCTCGTAATTTATTAGAGAAGAAATTTGTAAAGCACACAGGCACGCAGGCAAAAATATAATTGATCATTAAAGAAATTGATGTCAATTAAATAAACAGCATTCTTAAAAATGTTTTAAAATTATCATATTACTTATCCTTAGTCATTTTAAATATATATTATTTCTCACGGGATTAAATTAATTTTTGCAAGAAAATTTGACAGCACAAAATATATTTTTACCTCGGTCTGCGTCTTTTTCTGGTTATTCCTAGACTCTTCCAACATTCCTCAAATATGTGCGCCGTTATACGCAGAAAAAGGATCAGGATTACCTCAAGGCACATAGCGAATATTCTCTAGCGATATTCGACGAGCGTGTAATTTCCAATTGAACGACATCTGCACCGAGATCGGCTCGGAAATCGCGGATGATCATCGACGCCTCAAAAGATCACCCACGTGTCTTCCACCGCGCCGCCATTTTGCCCGTCAGCCGCCATGCCATACAAGCTGGGAGCCCCCACCGCCGTTCGTTTCTCTCTCTCTCTCGTTCTTTCATCGTCTCAGGCGACGAGAGGGAAGTTTCCGGATTCACGACTCCGAGATAACGCGAGCGAATGAAAAATTCGCAAGCCGATTTCGCAATCGCACCAGGCGACCGACGTTTCGTCGTCGTCGTCGTGGAGGTCCTCCTCATCGCGCATCACGAAGCGATGAATCTCGGCGTCAGAAGCCGAAAGAGCGATTCGTTCTCGCGTTGCGTCGCAACTCGATGAGTCACGGTCCGCTTTCGAGCGCGTTATCGAGGCCTCTGCCGATTTTCGAGGCAGCACCGTCGATTCTGTCAAAGTGAACGAAGAGAAAAATAGGGGAAAACATGGAAATGTAGGACACGATGAAACGGGAAAATTCCACCTCATCGAAATTTAATTTTGCTACTGAAAAATATGTACTGTATTTATGTTATAATTATTGTTATATTATAGTTACGTTACAATTATATAATTATATGTAACTATATAACTATAATATAATATATATAATTATATAATATATAACTGCTATTAAAAAAAATTTTAAGTATTTTCATTCTCATCATTTGTATCTACGTTAATAAAATAAAGTTCAAAATCTAAACGCGATGATGGACGCAAACGTGCGAATTGATCGTCTACTTTACGTCAAAAGATAAAACGGCAATCTCTCATATCCCGACCTTCTCTCCTTTACAAATGTTGGAAGGTATTTCGCGGATTTTGGGATCCGTGGCGGGGGAGGTCGAGAGGAATAGACTGAGAAAGAGGGATAGAGATCGATGGTCCCCGTCCCATTCTTCAAGGAGAACTCCGTTATTTCGCAAACGCGACCTCACCTTCCAGGAATCGCGTCCTTGAATGATGGAGGTCATCGGCTCGCAGAGGAACTCTCGCTTGTCTGCCGTTACCCCGCCATCGTCGTCGTCGTCTTACCTTGGCTTGACTACGTAGACGATCGATACGGACCGTCGAATCTCGTGTCCAGGGTCTCGTAGTGCCGGCAATGACGACGACGATGGCGAAAACGCGGTAAGAACGACATATTTTCAAATATCCACGAATATCAGCTGCTCAGACTATTCCCAGAGCTGCTCTTTAAAATCTATTTAATTTAATCTCATTACCTTTATGTTTGTTTAGGTTGTTTCCCTCGCAATTTGAATTATGCATTCTAATTAAATTCCAATTCAATTCGTGTCTAATCATTTCATCACTTCCTTTAATTTTTTTGGCACAAAATAATTCACCGTAACATAATAAAAATTATATTTATAATAACATATATATATTTATTTATTTTATATAATTTTGAAATATACGTGTCTAGAAATATTCTGTTGTTTAATAATTAAATTTACTTGCCTTTGTAAATTATTATATATTATTTTTTATTGAATTGTAATTTGTTTGTAAAAAATTAAATCAGAGATGAGAATTTTTCTTTCCCCAGAATATCGAAAGGCATCAATGATTCGAATCAAATAAAACATTTACGAGCAGATAAAAAATATTCTTGTAATTTCCACACAAATATGCATTAATCCAATAAAATTTTTTAATATGATTAATTTAATTTCCTCAAGCTAGAGTTTCGACGAAAAAGTTTCTCGATATTATTCCCCCTCGAGTCAAAAAGTTTTGCAAACTTTTACAAAGCTACACGCACATTCCAACGGGAAGACAAAGCGGTTGTTTACACATCTGCAGAAGAAAAGCTTTTATGCAAACACAATACAAGATAAAAGAAAAAAAAAAAAAAGAGGCATCTACGATACTCGAAACGCCCGTTGGACATCTTTGCGACATCTCTCGGATGTTCGCGTCGTCTGGATAAAGGGGGCCAAATCTATTAGGAAACGTCGTGCGAATGTGGCCGCCTATTTTCACGGCTGATCGCGTCCGGCCCGACTCGTTACCTCGTGACATTTTTATCGGTCCGGAGCGGGGCATTTTCGGACGCGTCACGATGCTCGCGATGGTCAAACCGACAAACGAGCAACGTGTGACTCGCGCATTCGAAAATAGAGAAGGCGCCTTCGAAGAAGACGAAAGACGACGAAGACGACGTCGCTTATCATTATCCGCCTTATCGAGCATTATGTAAGCGTCGCCTACGTCATGCATGTGGCAGTTAAGGGGCTCCGCGCGAAAAGAGAGAGCGATCAAAAAGCTACTGGAGCAGCGTTTTTTGGAAAATGTTGTGGAAAAGAGAGGAGAATATCATAGAACATGGGTGTCTTCCCGCCTCGCACAATAGGACGGGTATAGGAGGATTAGTCACTCGGGATAGAGAGAGATCTTGCGAATAAAAAAGTAGATTAATGTATGTCTTCGTGACGTGGAGAGAGGGAGAGAGAGACAAAGAGCGCTCTCGGTCCTGCGAGCAATTATGCTCGATTTTCACGAGCTCATATTTCACTTGATACGCGCACCGGAATATGTAGATTGAAATTTCAAAGCGAAATGGCAGGACATTTACTTGGCACGATCGTTCTCTTTATGTGGTATTTAAAATATACGATGCATACAATGTATCATATTTTTCTTATTTGTTTTTACCTCATTTTAATATCATTTTAATTATTTTTATTTTATATATTATTTTTTAATTATTTTTATTTTATATATTACTTTAATTATTTTTATTTTATATAAATTAATTTTTCCCGTCGCAGTTTTATACAAAAAAAAGAGAGTTCACACGAGCAGTATAAATTTCTTCCTTTGAGACTCCGAAACTCTCGATATACTGCAAATTATTACAATAATTGGACGAAATTTCACGAGAAATCCACTGCATCATACGTGCAACTTTCTTCCCGTCTAAAACTATCACGAGAAAAATAAATACACACTTTTTCCCCTCGTTATACCATACATTACATATCTCGAGTCGAAGAAGCACGCGCGTGTGCGTGCGTAACGCACATGCAGCCAAGGTAGCGGGGGGGCGGGGGATGGAGGGAATCGGAGTTTCTGCAACGTCGCAATAATCGGCGCCGAAGAATTCGCGCTCGAGTTTGCGAGACTCTTTCGAGTTACGCACGCGGGACGAAAGCGGGGGCGGAAGCGGGGGCGGGGGCGCAGGGGAACTCCTCTCTCTCGGACGCGGCGCACATACGCGTCTCCGTCGGACGACGACGCTCCTCTGGCGCCGTCGCCGACGTCGACGCCGCCGACAACGTCGGCGAAATCTCGCGGCGAAGCTACTGCGCAGATTCCGTGTCACGCGGTCCCTCGGTCTCTCTGCGTCGCGCGGAAAACTTTCGCACGCTCGCAGTTCGCGGCCGCTCCTCCGACGAGAAGTTTGCCTCAATCGGAGGAAACTGGACGTCGCGACAGAGATGGTTTTCCCCGTCTCTCTCTCTCTCTCTCTCTTTCTTTCTCCCCAACCTTAATCAATCAAGGCTCTCACCTCTGTCCTCCGACGATGACGTCTTTCCCGCCCTGGGTCTCGCGGGCCGCCGCCTCCCTCGCGACGATTCCGCATCTCGGTGAATCAGTCCTGTCATCGTGCGTCACTTGGATGCGATTGCCGCACTCCGCGTCGCGAGACCGTAGGAATTCTCGGAGGCGACGCTGGGAATCGACGCGTTTCCCTCCCCCTTCCTTTCCTTTTCCCTCCGAGCAACGATAACGCGGGGCAATTACGCGTAATTTTCCACCGCGTCCTTTCCGCGTCTCGGGATGACCTTCACTTATTTGGACGATTTCACGAGCGTGCACGAAGAACGGGACGCGCCAGCGGCGTGAAGAGAGGCGCAAAACGACGCGCGGCTAATGCGCGAAAGCGTGCGCAGAAGCGAGGCGCGCAGCCTCGACAGGCGCAATTCCGAGTCGACTAGAGAACGACTACTACTACGACGACAGCGACGATGACGATGACGGCGATGACGATGGTGACGACGCGGGCGGCACGCGTAGACCAGTCGCGGTCCCCCTCGCGTTACACACTGGGTGGCCCGGCTCGACGCGATTAAAATGGCTGCGAGCGTGTGTACGTCTTGTTTTCTCTCTCTCTCTCTTCCCCTTTTTGCCATCACCTATCCACCGCTCGGCCAACGACTCGACACCGCCGTCGTCGTCTTCGTCGCATTGTTTCCCCGCACGCGTTCGCGGAATCGGCGCGAAGACGCGTTTCCCGGAGGAGGGAAACAAAAGGAGGAGAGGACGCGCTCGCTCGCTCGCTCGCGCGCGGGCGACCGTGCGCACGAAAACAACATGTACGTAAACGGAAGCGCGTACTACACGCGAGTAATGGTGTGGTGTGGTAGACACGCGCGAGAAGCCGCGTGGGACTGCGCCGCTAGAGCGAACGCCGCGGCGCGCGAGTCGACGGGATGCGACGCAGGCGGCACCGCCAACGCCGCGCTCGGCCGTCGCCGCAACTACGAGAGTAAATAGCGGGCCGAGAGACGAAGAAGCGACGGGGGGAGGGGATAGGGGTGCGGAGGGGAGAGGGAGCGAGCCGCGCGTTCTCGAGTCGGAGCGAGGAACGCGAAAAGGGAGGAAAGGAAGAGGGGAAGGCGGGGCGAGAGAGGGAAGCGACGGCGAGGCCGCGCGAGAAGGGGAGGAGGAGGGGGAAGGGGGAGACATCTCGGGAGTGCGTCGGGCCAAGTGCGCGAGTGTCGTCATATCCGGTATTCGGGGTGGCGCTGTACCTGAAGCCGAGCGGTATATGCGAGTGTAAGAGCGCGAGCGCGCGCGCGCGCTCACGTGTGTGCCGCGTATGCGTATGTGCGTGCGGCGATAAAAGCGGCCGTGTCGCACACGTAACCGATGCCGCCGCGTGCGTGCGCGTCTGTGGAGCATCGAGGGTAAGGTGGTGAACGCGTACGGCGTAATACGGCAACAATGAGATCACGACGACGACGACGACGACGACGACGACAATGACGATGATGATGATGATGATGATGAGGGCGATGAGTTTCCCTCGCGAATTCAGAAAAGTTGTATTTTTCAGAGATTTTCGTCCCGACGATCTTATCTGAGTACGAGAGAGAGAGAGAGAGATACCAGTTGGCCCTTTCCCCCTCCCACGCATCTTTATGCGCACCTTGCCTCGTCGTGAATAAAAAATGCGATATTTACAATCAGAGAACGCGTTGGTTGAATTCGTTATTTCTTGCTGGAATCCTGCCCCGAAAACGAACATCGCAATCGGCTTTATAGAGAGCGGCGTGACTAAAAAGCGCATCAGCGCTTCTTTCGGAGTCCCCGAGATATTAAAAGTGTTTTGAAACTTTAAACGTAACGTGTTCGGGATTTTTGTATTTTTTTAAGCTTTTTTTTAAGTATCATTCTTGCCAATTATCCCGAAAAGGAAAGCTAGAAAATCTTCTCTCTCTCTTTTTTCATCTATCATCATTTCACCAGAAGGCAACGTTATCAGAACCTACCTACTTTTCATTGAAAAATTGTTATTAATATTCATCGTATCGTCATAATAATACCAACTCTCTCGAATATTCAGCGACGCTAGAATTGCAAATTGATGACAATTATAATTTCCGATAATCGATTTATAATTAAATACACAAGTGCATAAAAAACTGAATTACCTCGCTTGAAATTATATCACGCGTTTGCTGCTCGAGGAAATTCCGATTATTTTCCTGCCTATCCCTGCTGGTATTATCGCAGAATTATTGCCGATCAAAGACCTTGAACGTTTCGATGGTCTATACGTGGTCACGTGATTGACGACATCGCGAGCACGCGGTAGTTACTCGTTTACGAGAATCAATTCGATTAGAGAGTGAAATGTTCCATTCTTTTTTTTTTTTATAGCGAAACTTTTCAGTTTAAAGGGTCTATCGATGCTGTCAAAAAAATTTATATATTGACTTTTGACAATCTTACACTTGAAAAGATCTATATTTTTTTCATATATATAAATATTTGTCATATTTCTATAATTTTTTCATTTATAAAAATTTATAATTTTTAGTTTATAATTTTTTTCTCTCTCTTTTAGAGGAATTGTTTTATATACATTATTTTTTATTATATTATATATTCAATATGTTTATTATTTTATTTCAATCAATATCTATTATCTCATAAATTAATAATAATTATATCAATTAAATTTAGAGAATGAAAATTTTCTTTAAGTACGATTATTATATTATTTTATCTCAATATCTATTATCCTATGAATTAATAATAATTATATCAATATTATATCAATTAAGTTTAGAGAGAATCAAAATCTTTCTCGAGTACGATTATTATACTCTATTAAAATTTTTTTCATTTTTACTTGCGAGCTCTTCCTCGAATACTGTTTATTCTCCCCTATTCGTAGAAAATTTGCCTTAGCGTCAGGATTAAAATGATTAATCGTTTCGTTGAATTTAGCAAAAGCGTAGGTTCGTCCCGGAGTCATCCACGGACCTGACCTCGTCGTACCTTGACGTTTCTCGATGACGTTTATCGACGTCGATCGCCGTTGACGTTCCAACGACCGTACAGAAATTCGTTTCCTCGTCGATGCCGCCAGTTATTATTGTTCCCGATGAACGGCCTCGGCGTTCGCGGCTTCTCTACCTAGATAGGTAACGTGACGCGCGTGACGTCGACCCGGTTGCGGCCCGTTCGCGTCGCGTCGACAGACGTCACGCGTCGCCCTGGCGACTAGAGCGGTTCTCGATAATTTAACTTTTTAACGAAGCCGATGGAGAAACGCGAGCCGGAATTTCTCGGCGTTTCTTGCGGCCGATACCAAGGAATACAAGCCCGAAAGTCGATACATCGGCGAACAAACACTACGATTGAAATATATTATTTTCGATTTTTTACCGCAAAAAGATACATTCTTTTGTACATTTATTCGTTATGAATCTTGGTCAAGTGTCGCATAAATTTTCGAGCATTAAAAATTTCTACCATCGTAATAAGAAAAAATATTATACGTTAAAATTGAAAAAAGTCACGGAAGAGAATGAAATATTATTATAACTCTAGCAATAAATTATGACTAAAATTTAATAAATAATTATTGAAAACTGAGTGTGATCTCATGTTAAAGCAAAAGATATTTTACACTGCAAAAATAAATATTGATCATTTTCATTGATTATTTTCACAATTTGAATCAAGAGCTAAATTGTGTTTAGTCCTTTCTAAAATTACTATTGAACATTTCTTGTAAATATTTCATCACAGATATTAAATTAACAAGAATATGCGATCGATGGAAGCGGAAGTACCGTTTGATTATTCAAATATATGCACACGTAAAGCTTCTTGTTTTTATTATCCCTGCCACTCTTCTATTTATTATATTTTCTTAAGAATCATCATCTCGCATATCACATAAAAAATTTAGAATGAAATTTCAATGAAATTTGAATACATTCGACAGAATGCTTTTTTATCCACTAATCTAATATTGAATTCACATTTATTTCTACAATCATATGTATTGTAAAATCTTCTCAAGAATGACACACGTGATCGCAGCAATATTTGAATCATGTAAATTACACAAATTAAAGTAGTAATTTATTCGAAATAGTGTTTATTGCAGATCTCAGCATTTTATGGAATTTTTCTCTCGCGATTAATTTCAACTCATGAAATTTTAGCGAACAATTAACAAAAACTTTTAATCTCTGCATAATTTTTTAGCATGCGTTATAATAACAATGCACTTTTTTACAGCTATAAATCGCATTTAACTTATTAAAAGCTCGTTAAAAAGTTAGAAACGCATTAAAAAGTCAGGCCTGTTGAAAGACAAACATCGTGACGTAATATCATTTAATGAAAATAAAAATGTCTTATAACTAGACGTTCACCGCTGCATCTCACCTATCTTGCACATGCATATCTTGCTCGCTTTTTTTCTAGAACTGTCACGCATGTGACATGACGTTTGCGTCGCGTCGACCCGCGTGTGCGATGTCGTTATAATCGCGACTGATAGGTCTACGCCGATTAGAGACAGAAAGTTCCTTCAACTTTGTTCGATAGCCTTACTTTCACTCGTATCCTCGGCGTTCGATTTTCGCTACAACTTTACGCGTAAACACGACTCGCCGCGCATACTTGTCGGAAAACATTCTCGGCAAAATAATGAATAATTAGCAATCAACACAGGTAACTTTCGCGAATCCATTTTTGACGTAATTCTTTTTACATCATCGAATTTACCAAGAAACATTTTTATCCAGCAAACACCAAATAACAGTTTTCTAACTATTAGTTATAATTTCTCACTCAACAATATAACTGTTACATAACATGTAACAGTTATATTGTTGAGTGGGAAATTACAACTAACAGTTATATAAATTACTTGGTGTTTGCTGGGTAAGATTTAATTTCGACGAAGTGGGAAAAATAAGATTCCTTGATTACGTCATCGTAAGTAAAGAGAATAATATTGTACCATATAAGGAGAAACTAATTTAATGATTATTCACGATTAGTGAATCAGAAATTTTCTCAAAATCCTGCTCAAGCGATTCGTAATCTTAATTCCGATGAATTTAAAAAATAGTACACAACATAATATAAGTAACATTGCGGAAGAATGAGTCGATCTATACGCGTGATATAATGTCACAAAATTGCGTTCTGTGAGTGACAAATAGATGAATGACGCTTCCAAGTATCTCGATGATTCAAGAAACCTCTTGACGCGTACGAAAAGAGATTCTTGACTAAATTACTATTGAATGACTGGTAGAAAATTCGAGGTACTCGTACGTTTTAGCAAATTTATTTTATGAATGGTTGCGTGAATGAAATGCAAAGTTGTAATCTTGAATAAAACATAACTGAAATTCTACATTAAATTTTTTATAAACTTCTCATATGTTATTAAACAATTTAATGTAACTGTAATTATAATAATATATGATAATATAATATCCTAGATTAAATCATTATATTTGTTTCAAGAAGTAGATGTATGTGAGAATAAAAGATACAAATAATCCTGATTCAATCAAGATTGAAAGATATGTAATTTTTGTTTATCTCCTCGAGTTTTTAAACGTTTTGCAAATATGTTTATGGCAGAGATTCTCTTTCTCTCTCTCTCTCTTTTTCGAATAAAGTAAAGCAATATTGTGGTTGGCGCAAACCAATAATTGATGCAAACGAATAATTCCTCTTATCTACCATGTACATACTTTTATGACGCGAATGAATTGCGCGATAACGTCAAATCTACGCTCCAAAGGTTCGATATTATTTGATGACATCCTCATTGACATTAATTGCAATTGTCGTCATATCACATATGTATGTTTGATAATATAGTTTACAAAAGAATTTCAACACA